AATTAATTAATTAATTAATTAATATGCCGCCCACTCTACCCAAAGGTCTCTGGGCGGCTTACAACAATTAAAATTCAATACAATAAAATATAAAATGATTAAAATATGATTGAAATACGATAATGAGGACCCCTTTCAAGGTTTTCTAGGTAGAGAATACTTAGAGGCGGTTTACCATTCCCCTCTTCTGGGGACATTCTGGACTGTACAGCTTGCCCAAGGCCACATAGGCTGTCTCTTCTCCCAAAAGGGCCAGTGGGAATCGAACTTCCAATCCTCTGACTCTGCAGCCAGACACCTTAACTCACTGAACTATTGTAGCATTTCTAGCCACTGTTCCTCTCTCTTTCTCCGCAATGCTCTTTAATCTGCTTCAACGTCTTCTTAGACCTGCTGTCTAGGCTCCATAACCCTAAAGGAATATGTGTAGGGTTCTTTGTGTGGGTCTGATTAAGAAGTAAAGAAACCAGCTTAAGGGTAAACCAAACTAATTAGGCCTTATTACAGGACCCGCGCCATAGACGCTTAGGTTGCTATGATTACTTGCTGTAAGCTAAGAAGACCGAATGCAATGTACTGTCGCACCATCTATTACTAACAACAGCCTCTTCACAGGGAAGTTGTCCCAGTCTCTTGATCATTTGGCACCTTTTCTAGCTCTGTTATAACCTTCTTCCTAAACTTTTAACATGTTTAGGAACTTTAATCAAATGTGGGGGTCAAAAAGAAGATACAGAACCCTGTTAAAGTGCTAACAATGTATTCATGAACACAACCCTGCCTAGCAGGGGTGTATTATTGTATCCTAGAGATTAAAGCCACAGACCAATGAGTTTTCTATTGTAATATAATTGCCACTGCGTGTACAGCATGTATATCGCGCATTCTGTGGCTGAAGGAACAATCTTCTCATTTTTAAACAGAGCACAAGAATAGTACAGTCCAAGAAACCCAGTCTCTCACCATGCTATTTCAAGAAATCTTCTCTTTATAAAACGGAATCACATACTCTTATGAATAACATATGGTTAGAGTTACATTGTACAATAGGAAGTGGGTAGCAATGGAATATGTTATTGAGGTTTGCCATAGTTTATAGACTGAATGATACAAAAGCCAAGATTTGCAGTGCTTATAAGTCTCTGTGTGTGTGTGTGTGTGTCTGTGTCTCTGTGTGTCTGTGTGTGTGAAGAAATATCTGCAACATTAGCATGCATTTCTTGAATCCCCGGGGTTTAAGAAAGGGTTAATGTTGCTTCCTCCTCAGTTTGAAGGACAGTTTGAAGCCACATGGAGCTTCCACACAGTCAGGTATTGTGATTTTTCAAGATTCTCCCTCACACACCCTTTTTACAAATTCCTAGATAGAACTAGGAAAGTGTGAAGGCAAGAGGAGAAGGAGATGACAGAGGACAAGATGGTTGGACAGTGTCACCAAAGCGACCAACATGAATTTGACCCAACTCCGGGAGGCAGTGGAAGACAGGAGGGCCTTACATGCTCTGGTCCATGGGGTCACGAAGAGTCAGACACGACTTAACAACTAAACAACAACAACCAGATAGAACTATGGTCTCTGACACTTAGCAAAGTGTAACAAAAGTTGTTTGGGTCATACCCAAATATGGTTTTAGTCCAGCATGTTATTCCCCTACCTAAACAGCTCAGAAAGCAAGCTTTTAAAACGGCTACCTTTCTCTTATTTTTCTCAACAGAATTTTATGCACAATGGGACACTGACCTTCATCCAAAAGACTGAAACACCAGCCTGGAAATGTTTGCACTGTTCCTTGGAGCAAGCGTATATCCTGGCTTTAACTTCCGCTCACATTTCTTCTCCCTACTGCTGTTTATTGAATTGCTGGATTGCTGTCCTTATATGCTGTCAAGTCAACTCCAACTCATGGGGACCCTATGAATGAATGACCTTAAAAATGTCCTGCCCTCAACAGCTCTGCTCAGTTCTTGCAAATTCAATACTGTGGCTCCCTTTATGGAGTCAATTCATCTCATACTGTTGGATTACAACTCTTGTCATCATGATGACCATTCTGACTAGAACTGGTGGCAGCTGACATGCAACAAATTTTGTAGGGGTCAAAGACTGCCTATACTAGAATGCTGGAGCCTGATGGAAGAGGGAAATCTCTGCTAGGCTCTACTACTTCTAGAGATCTCAGTATGAAAGGGGAAGGCAGCTGCATGTGTTC